CCCCAAAACCCCAAAACCCCAAAACCCCAAAACCCCAAAACCCCAAAACCCCTAATGAGCTTCAAAATTTGAAATAAAATTATAATAAGAATAAAATAAATATTTAAATGGCATCAACATATGCGAGGAAAGTCGGGTTCAGTGGTACAAACACTGTCCATACTTTTAAGAGAGACACAACTACAACTCAGCCTATCATGGATATTAGACCAAAGGTCACAGCAGGGTTGAACACTACTCATGGACTAAAGAAATTAGATGGGGGTAATGATTTGAATTCACTCCTTGCTCAGGTTGCAACCTATAAATTCAAAGATTACTTCCTTGACTTTGACAGACTTAGAAAAGGATTTGTTTCAGAAACTAGATTTAGATCAGGACTAGGAATGGTCAATGTTGAATTTACTGAGGATGATATTAAGAAATTGCTGAATAAATATCAAGACTCAACTCGTGAAGTCAACTATAGACAGTTCTGTGAAGATGTAGATAAGTAAACTTATTGTATAATCTCTGTAGGTACTTCAGAAAAGAAGCCTCTGCTACAGGCTCAGGGTCTTCCAAGTTTACCAGAGAAGAAGTTAAAGTGCTGACTGATTCACTCAAAGAACTCAGGTCTGTCATCAAAGCAAACAGAATTTTGTTAAAGCCTACATTCTCGAACTTCGACAGAACCAACAAGCAGAGGGTGACTGCCCAACAGTTCGCCAGAGTGCTCAAGCAGCTGAGCATCATGCCGTCCATTGACGAGTTCGACCTGATTTGCAGGAACTACTTTGACAAGGGGAATACTCGGGAAGTCAATTATGTGAAATTCTGCCATGATGTTGACAAGCCTGAGGATATGTTTGCTGATCTAGGAATTAAGATTGATAAATATGAGGAACAACCAATCGAGCTTGGTTCAAGCAGTGTTCTTGGAAGAGCTACTAAATCTAATTTCTTTGCTGATACTACAAAAGGAATTAATGTTCTTGAGAATAGATTTTCAAAGCCAACTATTAATCTCGCTAATGACCCAAACGATTGTGAAGAAAGAATTCAAAATCAAGTCGTTATTAAAAGAGTTAGAATTGGAGAATTCTTCAGAGATTATGATAAACTCAGAAAGGGAGAAGTCACTGCAAATCAATTCACCTCTGTTATGAGAATGCTTGATTTCAACCTATCTAATGAAGAATTTGATTTTCTTACAGAGAAGTATAAAACGGACACTGGAATGGTCAAATATAGAGACTTTGTTGAGAACATTGACCAAATTTTCACCATTAAGGGTATTGATAAGATGCCATCTGCTAAAGTTCCCCAGATTGATAAGAAAACTGTTTTAGCGAAAAGTAAAAAGCATCTTGAATTCGATAATGACGAGCAACAAAGCATGTATGAGATAATAGAGGCTTATCAAAATGTAGTATCGACTAGAAGATTGAACCTCAAGCCAATATTCCAAGATTTTGATAGAACTAAATGTGGCCATATCACTAAGACTCAGTTCGTGAGAGTCCTCAATCAGCTTGGAATTGACCTATCTCACGAAGTTCTGTCAAACCTACTCAAGAGATATATGGATAAAGGAAATGCTGACGAAGTTAATTACTTTGAATTTATCAATGATGTTGATAGACCAGAGAACATATTCGGAGCTGGAAGAGACTTTAATCACTCTTATGACTATTTCTCAGTCACTGATCCAAGGAAGGTCGGTGCTCAAATCGCTCATCTTGAGCCGGAAGATGTTGACGATATTCTTGCAAGAATCAGGAAAGTTTGTAGTGAGAAAAGAATTAGACTTGAAGAGTTCTTCAGAGATTTTGATAGACTAAGATCTGGAAATATCACAAAGCCTCAATTCAGAATTGGAATGAATATGGCTAAAATTGATCTATCCACTTCTGAGTTTGATCTTCTTTGTTCTCACTATAACTCAAAGAAAATAGGAATGTTCAGATGGAAAGAGTTCTGCGACAATATTGATGAGATCTTCACAAAGAAAGAGCTTGAGAAGGACGCCACAATGCAAGTCACTAAGCCCTCTATCATGACTAAATACGGAACTGTCAGTGCACCAAAGCAGGATAAATCATTGGCTTCCAAATTAGTTACAAGATTCAAAGAGAAGCTTAGAAGGGAGAGATTAGATGCCAAGAGCTTCTTCCAAAGTTGGGATAAGCATAACAGATTCAAAGTATCTCCTAAACAATTCAGACAAGTCCTTGCTACCTGTGGATTTGACATGACTGATACTGAGAGTGAAGCCTTGTGCAAGAATTACTGTAATCAGGATGGAGAGATAGAGTACCTCAATTTCTTAGCGGATGCAAATCCAGAAATCTGTATCGAGCTCGAAGAAACCAAGAGCAAGTATATGTCAAAGCAACGTAAATTTGATGGAGTTACTGCATTTGACAGACTCATGGAAAAAATTAAGACTATTGTCAAGAAAGGAAGGATTAGACTCCTTGATTTCTTCCAAGATCATGATGCTCTACGTAAAGGATATGTTCCATACATGAAATTCAAAGGTGTTTTGAGAGGACAAAACATTGAGCTAACTGATAAAGAGTATGAAACATTGATTGAGAAGTTTTCCCTTCCAGATGATCCAAATATGATTAACTACATTGATTTTAATGATGATATTGAGCTCATTTTCACAAAGAAAGGATTAGAGAAGGAGCCAACAACTCAAGTTCAAGAGTTTAAAATTCCATCCCTTATTGATCCAGATGATGTTCTGACTGATGATGAAGAAAAGGTTCTTGAAGAATGCCTCCAAAGAATTGGATTTGAGACAAAGAACAGAAGACTGCTCATCAAGCCATTTATTCAAGACAAAGATAAAATCCGTAGAGGAATTGTAGCAAATTCAAGATTCAGATCAATTTTCGATTTCCTCAAGCTCTATATTACAGATGAAGAATATAAAATAATTAATAAGAGGTTTGTTGGAGGAGCCCCTGACGAGATCAATTATATCGACTTTGACAACGTACTGAAGAGATACTCAGGAGATGATGTTCCATTTTAGCTAAAGATAATCCAGATAAATGCTGTTAAATTCAACTAGTCCGTTTAATATTGGGGTTTTGGGGTTTTGGGGTTTTGGGGTTTTGGGGTTTTGGGGTTTTGGGG